TCATATCTTTTCATGAAGGCTAGTTTTATATCCTCAGGATCTTCCACCATTTCTTTCAACCGGAATGCATGTCGACCTTTTGCAGTTCCTGAGACACCAGCACCTGTTCCAGCATACAGATTTGACCCCTGATGAGTTACAGAGTCTCTGTTCCATCCGGAATCTCCACTATCATCATCAACATCTAGAGGTGTTGAACTTGTTGTTTTCGAGGGAGGAATACGACCTCTTGTTCGAAGACGCTGAGTCAATGGAACCACCTTCTACTCAACTTTTACAATTGAAGTACACTTCTGTTTCTTGGATTTTGAACCACCAGCCTTATCAGATGCAACAGTCCTCTTTAACTTGGCCGGAGATTGATCTTCAGGAACCTTTCCCGGTGACTTAGTCATGATAATTTCTGCAAATCGCGAAGAAAACGAGAGCCAAAAGCGAGAGAAAGATACAGAAGCAAGAGAGAGATGTGAACTGTAGAAGTGAGAGAAACTAGGGTTCATAAATGGGAAAAGAGAATAGTTACACGCGATAAGACAGACCGAGGCGTGAACAATTCGTTTTCCCTCCACTCTCTCGATTTTCGGAAAAGTAAACCGCCACTTGAGAAACTTCATTTTCGAACTATTTTCAAGCCCATTATCTCTCTTTAAGAGAGCCCAACAAGATATTACAGAGATATGTGGGCCAATACCTACAAAACATCCATTTTCAACTAACGGATGGAACCCATTCATCAATAACACATGATTCAAACTTAAATGATAGAGAAACGACAAAGACCAAAAGAAATGATCTTAACCAGTTAGGAATAACCTAACATAATCACAACCCATGAGATTTAAAATACACAAGATAGAAGATGACAGTAACAGAAGAACTTAGACCTAATTGTATATACACACAATCAGACTCATGCAACAGTCACATAAACAGGGAGCATAAATGCAACCACTATGAACCGAGTTGCGACAGACAAGAACGAGTCTCCGAACAACACTGATTTTCTGAGACCAAAGTATGCGAACCAGAAAGAGAAGAATTTGACCAAGATATATACATATGTATACAGAATAGAGACACAAACCCTTAGACTTGTCCAAGAGGACATGTGACAACACAAGTTGACGTCAGAACAGCAAGCAGAAGTCTTTTTAAAGGTGATTCAACACACCAACCCACTGAGGTAGCTGTTTCTCACAGAGGAGCTTTAACACTCAGTGATCAACTCAGAATAGTCTTCACATCAGCATACATATTCAGACTCTATCAAGAGAGATTTAGACATAGAACAGAAAGCCCCTTCTCCACTTGTTTCTCAATTTTGAGCAAGTGACATAACTTGAGTCATTG